GGCAGCCTGAACCTGCCTCGTTGAACCTCCCGCTGCTCTCTCCAGACGATGCCACATGTCAGTCTTCTCCTCCTCCTCCCTCTTCCTCTCCCCTGCTACTTGAGCACCGTGCCGTCCTCGACTCGTCGTTCAGCTCCTCCTTCTTCACTCCGGGGAGATCGGCCTTGAACACATGCGCCTCTGCAGTCTCCTTCCAGTCGACGTGGGGGCCGGCGAACGCCGAGACTCGTTGGTTGGAGGGGGAGGGATGTAGACGGTGTTGTGGCCGCTGCCGCTGAGTGAAGGGGGGAAGTCGAGGAAGGGATCGATGACGGAGCCGTTACTGCTTCGGTTGGGGAATCCCAATCCTAGACGGGCGAACCTTGGGATCATCGACATCTTGATTGATCGCGTCGCAGAAATGAGAGAACTTCAGAGATTTGAGAATTTGGAGGATTTTTTTTTTTTCTTTTTTGGGCGCGCGATCTGAGAGTGAGTACAGTGGGGGCTATTTATAGAAGAGGAGGTCGGTTAGGGGATGGTTCTGGAATCAGACGGTTAGGCGGTTAGGGAAGAAGCTTCTATAATCTTCTAGATCTGGTTGAGGTTGTTACGAGCCCAACCACCTTTTATTTATTCGTAATAAGCGAACTGGCCCACTAAGCGTGCTTATTCCCCGAAGCATTATTAGACTGTGGTGAGCCCAAAAGTACGGAGCACCTTCGAATAAAAGGCCAATAAGCAATTAGGGAGCTATATATTTAGCTTGAATGACTAAAAACCATCAGTTTGTTATTACGCGCAGTAGCCAACTTGCACATGCAACAACTTGCACGTGCATAATCGCACGTGCTAAAGACCCTAAAGTCGATAATGAAAATAGAAATGTATGCATCTGCGTGTGTTCTCGTGTATGCATCTCTGTCGTATTCTTTTAGAAACCAAAAGGAAATATATATATATTTTAATAATTTCTATATTTAAATCTAACAAATCATTTTTAGAAATATTAATTTCATTCATACCAAATATTAATCTCCACAAAGTAACAGTCACGTGTCTTACACTATACCTAATACATCTAATTCAAGACGAAGATAATCTCCACCCTACTCGGCACACTATCCAGCCGACATCTCGCGTAATCGAGACAAAAGGCGATACCACTCGGCCAACCCTTCGATTGACTCCACAAGCCACTCGACTCCGCCCACTTTTCATCCGACATCTCGCGTAACCGAGATAAAAGGGGTGCTATTCGACCAACCCTTCGGTCGACTCCATAAGCCACCGACTCGGCTCATTGTTCAACTGACATCTTGTGTATCTGAATCAAAAGGCGGACTTATCATCCAACCTGGCCAGCCGCTCCTGCGAATAACCCCCACTTGGCCTGTTGTATCAGTCGTCAACAGGTATAGTCGACCATCAGTTGGATGACTAAAAGAGTTGGTAGTTTTCTCGAACCCCGCGTCGACAGCTAGCCGCCTGTCCTTGCATTAAATGCTCTGACAAAGTCATCATTTCTCTAGCTCCCATAGCCTTTATGACTCATCGGACCCAGTCAACACCGAGCACCTTTCCCATAATAAATGACCAGATGACTCATATCCCTCAACAACCGACACATAGCACATGTCTGTCGATTCAGCTGCCTAACTGGACTCGGCCCAAGTTACCTTCTTGCCCCTGAGATCCACTATAAAAAGGAGATGAACTGCATGGGGTAACTCTCTCTGGTCTTTTTTGACACAACTAATGCCTAACTCTATATTTCCCCACTCAAGATCATCTACTGACTTGATCGTCGGAGGAACAACATGAGAGCCCAACTCCTGCCTTTTACGAGTTCTTTCTTGTGCAGGGAAGAACAAAAAAAAAAAAAAAAAAACCCAGAGTCATACATCATAAGGAGTTAGAGGATCTTAATCACTCTAAAAATCTGTAAATTATTCCCTGTTTGATAGCTGACACCAACACATTTGAATTTTCAAAGAATTTCGCTTATCTAAATATAAGTATCATTCCAAATGTCAATTACGAAATGCAACAAGGCTTTCTCATGAAAAAAAAAAAAAAAAAAAAAAAAACCCAGAGTCATACATCATAAGGAGTTAGAGGATCTTAATCACTCTAAAAATCTGTAAATTATTCCCTGTTTGATAGCTGACACCAACACATTTGAATTTTCAAAGAATTTCGCTTATCTAAATATAAGTATCATTCCAAATGTCAATTACGAAATGCAACAAGGCTTTCTCATTTATTTTTATAGCTCTTCTTCAACTGATCGATTTGGACCATTACAATTATTTTTTAGTATTTTAATATTAAGTATTAGTAGGAGTATTTCATGTTTTGGATCTATTATTTATCATTTTCTTATTTTTGTAATGTTCTACCTTCATTTGAGTCACACTTCCAAAAACTTTTTTCTTCTTCGAAGAATAAGGATGACGGGACCAGACGGGTTCAATTAGGCCTGCAGGCTGCAGTCCTATGCCCACATTGCCATTGCCATTATTGTTTACCAAAAGAGAACTAACCCCCCAACACAAAAAGGAAAGCTCCATAGTTCATAACATCGAAAAGATCCAACCTTAAAAAATCTACCAACACGCTTACAAAAAAGCAACAAAACATAGCACCAGCCAAAACAAAACATATCTATCCTATATTATTAAAAATCAACTATGAGTAAAAGTTTGGATCACCATCGTCCACCTCAATTGAAATTTGAGAGGTAAAGCGATAAATTCCATTTATGGTTTTAAAAAAAAAGGAATTGGGAGGATCCTCTTCGGGACACACGGGTCAAGACTCAAGAGGTACGGTAAAACATAGCTTCTAGCTCGACGACGAAATCGGAGTTGAGATCGGAGACGAGACCAACAGCTCGACGACGAGATTAACTACGAGCTCGACGAGGAAATCAGAGTTGCGATCGGAGACGAGACCAGCAGCTCGATGACGAGATTAGCTACGAGCTCGACGACGAAATCAGACGGCGAAGATATTGGCAATGAAAGAGTAAACCCTAGAAAGCTCCCAAACCGGATGATCTTGGCCACGACGATTTTAGGGAGCGGGAAATTTTGACGGTGATTTTAGGGATTTCATTTGAGAGAGAGAGAGAGAGAGATATTCCGTTTAAGCGGCCGGGACGATGGGCTTTACAAACTTAACTCCCAAACCCACGAACAATTATTAAACCCAAGAACAATTATTTGGTCTATGGCAACGTTTTTCATTAAATGTTGTATTAGACACTGCAAATCGTTACGATAAATATCTAACACAACAGTTAAAACCGTTACGTCTTAACCGATGCAATAGATCAATCATGTGGTAGTGTATGGTTTTTAAAAAAAGGAATTGGGAGGATCCTCTTCGGGACACACGGGTCAAGAGGTACGGTAAAGGCTAAAGCATATCCTTTTCACTTTTAAACGCTTCATAGAGTGTTATTTACACTGATTCCCTCGTGTCCCGTTCACTCTTGGGTATGGTTACACGTGTTTTTTAAGCCCTTAAGAAAATAAGATTTGCAATAAGTTGTAATATTATAAATAAAAGCTAATTAAAATTATGAATACCTCTTCACTAATAATTTTTCTATAATTAAGATTTTGATTATTAGGATAAATTCTAATCATTTAAATATACAAGTAGAGAACTATACACGGGGAGCCTGGGTTTGATTCCCATAAAGCGTCAAAGATGCATTAGTTATGGTTGTTGGTTTTTATTTTTATTGAAAGTATAAATAATAAAATAAACAATTAGCATTTCACCATGTGTCAAGGTAAATATTATTGAATGTTCACATCTAAATACTTTGCTTCAAAATAATTAAATAGAATAAATCACAAAAAGACTCTTCTTAATGACATTATCTAAGAAAATTGTATCATCGCTCTAATTGAAATATATATCATAGCAATTTCTAAATAAGAAATAAAATATTGAATCAAATTAATAGATATCATAAAAAGATATTATAAAAATCAACTATACTTCAGAAAAGTGACCCTTTTATTTAAAAATTAGAATATGTAAGTTTTAATTTTTATTGCATGTGCAATAATGCTAACTATGTGTGTGTGTATATGGAAGAACTTGATACCAAGCATAAGTTTTTGTATTTGGTAGTGAAATGATTCATTCACATCCACGCATTCAAATGGGGATCGCATTCACATGGACCGGGGAGTGAATCAGAATGAGACACCTCACTATCAATCACAAAACTTATGTTTGATATCAACTTCCTATCTTTTTCTCATATATAGTAGCTCCTATGGTATTTGTAGCTCTTCTTTTGCGCTTTCTTTAGCAGAATCCACTGTATCAATTAGGAACATCGCCTAATCAAAAATCCATGAAATAAGTACTTTTCCCCCCAAACATCTAAAGCATGCATAGATTTTTGGTGTAAAATTCTTCTATTTCTTTCATACCAAATACTCCACAACAAAGCACACACAGCTATGCCATATTTCAATCTAATATTGTATGGAACAATTTACATTCTCCACACCGCCCACATATCCTCAATCTTATTTGGTTTCATGGTTAACTGAAATTTATGCAAGAGAGAGTTCCAAGTAATCACTTTTCAAGCATAAGTGGGTTAATTGGATCATTAGTCATTATATTTATCATGTAATTGGACGATCACATCTATGACTTAATTGGTTAGATAGTTTGTCATGTAATTAAATACTATTTGTATCATTAATCACTTTTAATGCTTTTCTTCAATTGAAATGATGGATTTTGGCAACATGATATAAAAAGTCTTGATAGTTTTACATAGCAGAGTAATCCCTGTGTTTATTGTCTTGATCACTTAGAGAAATGAAAATTCGTACATATCGGACAACTTGTATTGGATAATTATATTGCATTTGACATTTTATTTGTGACAATGTTAACTTGTGACATATTGAGTAAGTTGTGTCACTTTAAAATGAACGAAAATATACAACTTAAATTGACAAAAAAAAAAACGTTAGAAGTGACCAACGATTCGATTAGTATTTAATTATGTGACTAGTTATCCAAGCAATTAAAACATACGTATGAAGATCCAATTAGAAGATAAATGCAGTGAATAGTGATCCAATTAACCCGGAATCCTGATGCTATATTCATTCTATCTCCAAAACAGACTAAAACAAAAATTACAAATCAACTTATCAGCTATCCTAAGCAGGTGAGCAGGTTTTCCCTCGATGTAGGATCATAAACACTGACCGGGGTCCACAACGGAATTAGCATAGACTGATGCACCATATGTTTTCGAGTCCTTGATACGCTGGTGTGCATTAAGCCATTAACCAAGCAATAAGACGCAACCGTAGAGTTTTCGCTCGCATTTAATTAATAGTTCTGCCCTTACGAGCATATTTACCCTTTCTCTTGCAACAACTGCCCACGTCCGATGGAAGTAGGCAGCGCCAAGATTGCAGAATTGGAAACGGCAGTGCAAAAAAGTGTGAACCCGAGAGCTGAGATATCAAAAGAGAACAGCAGATTGATTTTAGTTAGTCGTAGGCTAAATAGGCGAGCAACAATAGATTGAACAACATTTTCGACAAATGATGACCAGTCTGAGAACTAAAACCACATCTCGCCTGCGCGCGTGTGTATAGAAACCAGTTTAGATTATCAGAAGAAAATCCACATCCATATCCTCTCAACTGCAAAAGTATCCAATAACCTTTATCAAGCATCAAATTCTCACTATTTATGTATATATTCCTACTCGTGCATAACAAATTTTGCATCCGCTTAATTTGGTAGGATCTTATCCTTCTGCCTTCTAAATTTGTTGATTTGTTATTGGTATGAATTAGTAAATTTGCACTGCACGCAGGCACATGCACACACACACAAAAGCATGCTGCTTCTTGTAACAAAGAAATTACTTCTCTAAATGGAGTATACATTTATAAAAATAGGAATCCTTAAATCGGTTAATATAATTAAAGAGAGAGGAAGGGCAAAAAAACATACTGCTTTCATGTAGTATCTGCAACAATTTGTTCGACTTCTATCTCCACAATGCTTTCTTTGCCAAACAACATGAATCCAACAGAGGCCTGCATACAAACAAGATTCTGTTTAGAATCTAACGTTTTCCAAAATCCAAGGAAGAACACACCGTCTCAGTAGGTCAAAAAAAAAGGAGAAAAAATAATAATATTATTGTTCTCCTTATCACTAGGTAACAATTTTCTCTTTTATGATTCAAATTTACTGTTATGACTTCATGATGTATATACAGCTATGATACTGATTGAGTACACTTGGGTTGGGAGTGTGCTCCTTATTTTGTAACGGAACCTGTTTTTGAGTAGTATGATGGCTGAGATCTCAGGTGTTGAGGTCTCCTCCTTTTTTCTCAAAAAAAAAAAAGTATTGACTATCACCTTGTTTCAGTTCAAGCCTGGTTGAAAGTTATACCAGGCTACCAGCGTGAACTATTACATGGACAAGGTTAGATGATTTAATATGACACATGGAAACATATTGTCTTTTTCAGTGTTGAGAAAATGAAATGGGATTAAAGGCTCCTTTTGTTTAATCAGAGGGAAATTAATGAATATAGAATGACTCTACTAATCAGAGCGAGGTTAATTGAATATAGAATAACTCTAGCAAAATCAAGACTAATCCCTGTAACTTCACATAAAGTGTAACTACATAATTAAAAGATGGCTATTCAACATATTTTTAATTTCCTTATGTCTGTAAATAGTAAATACGTACTTTTCCATTTTTTGGGTCTAGCTCCTTGAGGCGGCCACTAAACTCCGCAAAAGGACCCGATAAAACACGAACACTTGACCCTGGGACGAGAGATTTAGAATTCTCTCCAAGTACTTGGCTATTTTTGGAAGGATCCGATCCTCTCCGTGACTTCCTTTTAGGCTTAGCATCTATAGCAGATTTCTGATTGCTTGCTGATTCTATGATAGACTTGATACTGTTATGTTGCTCTTCCTTAAATGCTTGGTCAGATTTCTCTTGTTCCTCTTTTGCTTGCTGAAATATTGCCTCCATCTCATCGACTGGAACTGGTTTGGGCTTGTTTATTTGCCTTTTTCTGAAAAATTGCGCATAAGGCATAAATATCTGTCAAGTATTTCTCGAGAAAATATTAAGATACATAGAGTGTTCTCAGAACCACATAAGGCATAAATATCTGTCAAGTATTTCTCGAGAAAATATTAAGATACATAGAGTGTTCTCAGAACCAATAAAAGATTAAGGAGCTACAGGATATTTCTCGAGAAAATATTAAGATACATAGAGTGTTCTCAGAACCAATAAAAGATTAAGGAGCTACAGGATACTCCAAATTGGCAATTTAAGTCTTCAATCTGATACATTGCAATGGACTAACTGTCAGCAACTTTTTCTAGATCTTATTTCATTGTTCACATGTGGAGCATTTTCTTTTTCTGCAGGAGAGGGGTGAAAAGTGAACTTTAATCTCGAAATTATGCTTAAAAGAGCTGAGACTACCACAGCCCAATGATGCAACACAGATGATTTTAGCAAACATGGTTGAATATTTGCACAACGTACTTAACAGATGGAACAAAGAACCAAATGCTTATCCCACTTATTCCAGATACAGAAAGAATTCCTATTTTTTCTTTCAGTAGGTAGGAAGGTCAGCTTTTACGGAAATGAACGTAATGGGGAGAAAGGAAACATATTAAAGGTTCTATTGCCTTCGTCGAATGCTAACATACTACCCAACTCAGCTAATGTTAACTTTTTTATTGGTGCGTGTTTTTTTTTTGTTTTTTGTTTTTTTAGTTGCTTCTATCTCCACAAAATTGGTATAACAGAGATATGGGACTAGTATTCATTAGATTACAGGGTTTTTTTTTTCTCGAGGATATAGGGGCCTAGAATTGGCAGATTACATGTTTACTCCTTAGTAAAACATGGTATAGATTATTCAAAATAAAAACTACCATCATAAAATGAAACTGAATGAATAGGGACAGATGCCGCCTACTTGAAGTAAAATTTCAGAGTAGTGACAACTAGATCACTCCCACTCAAACTACTTCGACGTTACGGAGAAATATATGGGGCCAACCTCTTCAACTATTTCAAAATTGATGACTCATCACGGGAGCCCACATTTTTTTTTGTAGAAAAGTGTAGTGCAGCGCATTACTCAAAAGTTAAGGACTATGAAGAAAATCTATGTATTTTGCATAAATAAACAAAATTATACAATGAAAGTTGTCGAAGGTGTATGCCACCTACGTGTTTCCAACTTTGGATCCAACAAAACCTCCAACACGATCAACTTCTCTTATGAAGTCATGGATCTCTTTGTTCATGACACAATTTAGGAAGACACAACCTGGAAAAAGAGGCTTTAGTTTTACTGAGATAGACCCGTTCTTTAGCTTCCTCTGCTCTTTAACAGCAGGATAATAGACCTGCCAACAAACAACGATAACAAGTGTTTATTAAACACGATGTAGACCGAGACCCCAAGTATCACTACATAGAAACACTACATCTAGGTACCAACATTCAATTGCATGTCGAAAATGCCTGTTCTCTGACGGATGCATGATCTTGTTTATTACTTGAATGATAGTATAGTTAGCATTTTTTCTCTATCAAAATGATAGTATGACTTGCATTGCCGGCTACTTTCAGATAAATAAATGTTTGGGTCATAACAGCAGAGATTCTGAAACTGCTAGTTTGAATGTGAATCTCTACTCAATCCACGTGCTTAATTTCTGTGACTAATGCAATTTTAATAAGATAGAGTACTACCTCATATTTGACCACCAATTTCTCCCTTTTTTTTTCCTTGAATAATTTCATTTAATAAAAACCCAGATATTATCTAGCATAATCCTCGGAGAGAAAGCTACCATCTTTATTCCCACCCATCAAATTTCAATCAAACTCGCATAAAAGACACCAAAAACAATACCTTGAACTCAAAGTCAGGATAATTTCTAATTAGAGCTTTAGCTATCACCTCCGCCGTCTCATGGCCGTTAATCCTGGAAACCCTAATGACCCACCATTGCGTGCCCAGTTTGGCGAGGAGATCCAAGTTGAGCTTCTCTGTCCACGACTTGTACTCTTTCTTGGGCTTCACCATTAACCTTTCTTCTACCTCCTCTCTCCAATTTCTATCTCCAGCTTTGCTCTCTCTCCTCTCTTTCCTCAGTTGCCTCCGTTCCTTCGCCGTGAGCTCGCCGGCCGATGCTTCGAGAACTGTCGAGGGTAGAGAGGTGCATCGAGGGTTGGGAAGTGAGCAGGGGCGATGAGATGGAAGAAGCAAGGGGCTCCTCCACTGTAGAACTAGAAGCTCTTGCTTCATCCTCTTCTCCCTTGGAAGAATTTGCGCCTTTTTCCTCCGTCCAATTTTAGGATAAACTTCGATGGTAGGTTAATAATTTTCGGCTAGGCCCCCATATGAAAGTTTATTTGCAAATATTGCGACTTTGGACTGCACACGCACCCGAAAGCGCACGTGCACGCGTTTGCCCGGCCGAGTTCATGAAAATTATTCGTGGGGGAGAAACGCCCGCCTTCCCCGCCGCCAGTCCGCGCTCTCTTTATAGTTCCCCTTTGCTCGCGATCTCCGATGGCGAAGGACGCAGCGAAGCGAAGAAAAGTCATGGAGGAGGCCGACAATTACGAAAACGACCCGACCTCGCCGCCTTCCGATCTGAAGCCTCCGATCTCTTCTCGAAGATCAAGGGCAAAGAGGTAAGATTACTCCAAATTTTTTTTTCCAGGGGTTACAGTGCGTGATCAGAGCTTACGGCTCCTCTCAATATTCTACCCCAATTTTGCCGTCCCAAGGTAAAATCAAAGTCGCTTGCCTTTGGATTGCGCGCGGCTTCAAATTTTGTTGCATTTACCTTCAAGTGGTGGTGAAAATTTTCTGAATCGGTTATGTTGCTCCATGAACTCCACGTTGTGTGTTCTTTTTTTAACATTACGAAGAATCAAATTTTAAGTAAAATTGTTACTGGCCGTAATTTCTTGTGAGCTATTTGAGGCTTACAAAGGTGTCGAAGCTGCAACTTTTTTCACTTGATATGTTTATAATGTTAAACTAGACCTGCAATTTTATGTCTTTTTTCGAGTAAATGATTTGAAATTTAATCTGGTGTTTTGGTTCTTTGTCAAAATAGATGTTACTTTCTGCTTGCTGAGGTATCTATAGGACTAGCCCTCCTTAGCCTAAAAACTAAAAACCTCCTTCATCCAATGGCTAGGATTCAGTCAAACAGTCAACAGACAAATGCATTAATTACCTCATTAAACACATGCATTAATTACCTCAACGCAGTGAATCCAGATTCACTACCGTGAATCCAGATTCACTACCGTGAATCCAGATTCATTACCTCAACGAACATGTCCTTCATTGCAGTGAATCCAGATTCACTGCAGTGAATCCAGATTCATTACCTCAACGAACATGTTTTTCATTGCAGTGAATCCAGATTCACTGCAGTGAATCCAGATTTGTGTTCGTTGATGTAATTAATGCATGTAATTAATGCATGTGTCTGTTGACTGTTTGACTGACTCCCAGCCATTGGATTTATCTAGATCCAATGGATGATATTGGTTTTTAGTTTTTAGGCTAAGGAGGTTTTTATTAGAACCTCTCCCTATATATACCTGTTGAATTCGGAAGCCTTCCTATGGAATGTCTAAGCCAAAGAAAATAATTCATGGGGTGGAAGCAGATCTTAAAGACTAGAAACATGTTATTGCAAAAATGTTAGATCATTCTGCAAGAGTTGGTTGGCATTAGACAATTTGTGGGGATTAAGTTTCCCCAACCATTCATATATTGGTTTGCATCTGTGCGCGGACTCCTGACTCAGGACAGAACGCGACCGTTTGGGTATATGTTCTGTTGACGCTGGCCTACTATGCTTGAAGGATGAAGAATCTGATGTTCCTTTGTTCTTCCTGTTGTAGTCTATCTGCTGATGTTTGGAATGATATAACGCTCTGGCTTAATTTCCCATTTGGAAGTTATGAATGGGATGTGATCATTGGATGGTTTACTGAAAGATGTAAAGGGGGGGAGTGCTTGAAGCAAGTGCGAAGGTGGGCTTTCAATCCTACTATTTACCAGTTGTGGAGAGAAAGGAATGCGAGACTACATGATGGGAGATGGTGTGGAGTTCTAATTTTTGGTGAACAGAAGCACAATGATGGTGTTCAGGGCCATTTTTCACCTTTGAATACCTCCTTATGTTCATGATTTTATTGAGCAGATTCAGAGATGAGAGAGTTGCCAGAGTATGATTGTTCATTTGATTCTGTTACTTGGTTTTTTCTAATGATGTTGAATAATATTTTGTCATCAAGGCATACCACAACTTTTTGAATGGAACTGTTAAAACTTATCTTCCCTGGTGTAGAGTCCAGCTATTTTTAGACTTTAGTAAATCAGGAAGTAACTCATCCCATGCCCTTCCATTGAAAAGAAAAGCTGCTGGTGAATGAAAATAGTTTCGTGTGATAAACTGCATAGGTTTGAACTAATCTTCTGATGTTTGAAAAAAAAAAAAAAAGGTTCCAAAGATCATAGCTCTGAGATAAACATTTGTTATCCACAATTTCTGCGAGGACTCTTCTAGTTTTTTTTTTAAATATAACTTATGTGAATTTGAAGTTATCTTTCTCAAGCTGATTGGAAGTTTATTCATCATCCAGACGATGGCCATAAGATACATGGATCCTTTGTCAAGCATGCACAACAACCGATGTTGCCGCCTAAGGTTTCGACTTCAGTAGCCAACTGTTCTTCAGGTGAAAAGAGAAAAGCTTCAGGGCCTGCTTCCAAGTTCTTCCCCCTCCAAAGAAAAATACTATGCAGGATCATCTAAAGACCCACACATGCTAGAAGGTAGAACGAACTCACCTATAAAAAATGCTGACACCCTTATGATGTTCATTCTTATATACAGTTATCTGTGAACTTTTTCAGATGATATGCAAACTGTACCATCTACAAAAATACTCAAGTTAACATGGGGAACACTTAAGCTGTTAACTCAACGTCCCCCAGTGTTTTGTAATAGAGTCTCCAGTTCTCGGTTCTTCCATTGCAAAGGGCTCATTCAAAAATAAGCCTCAGACTCCAGCCAGTTCTTTTGTCTTCCAAGATCCCTCCACGAGGGTTACAATCTCAAATTGACATGTCTGTTTCTCCTGTAGAAAATTCATCTCTTAATGCCAGTGGTGCTAGTAGTAACTCCAAGAAGATTGTTCCTTCCTATGCAATAATCTCTTTTGAAATTATCGTCAGCCCTCTCAAACATGAGGGTTATTATGCTGCTGAGCTGAGCTACTATGTCTCAGCTCCTCCTGTAAAATCAAGTTCAGAGAAGATGAATAAAAGCGAACATTTTGGTGGTTCTTGTTCCGCATGGAGTTCAGAGGAACCAGTTGCTGTTGAGAGATCTCCTTCTACAACCTATGGGGAAGCTGAAGGAAGCTTTACTTCGATCTTCCTGTTTTGATTTTTTTGATGGGGACTTCAATAAGCATCTTTGTGATATTGAGCTTGAGTTTGAACAAGTTTACTCTTCTCACCAATCTTTTGCTCCTGCTGATTTCCATCCTGGGCATGGTTCTTGCCAAATATATCCCTTCTTAGTATTTCTATTGTGATATTCTCTTAATGGTAACCTTTTTGAATAATACACGTTTATTATGTAAACTGAATTCCGTTTGGAGCAAAACTTGGGCAACGAGTGTTTGGAGACAAGTCGAGTTTTGCATAACCCTCATCTGTCTGGAGCAACAGAGATTTTTTTCCCAGAAGAACATGGATTCTTATTTATTAGTGCCTCCAAGCAATTTCCCCTATTCAGCATACTGCGGTTCTACTTTTACTTGGGAACACTTCGTTATTTTCTTTGTTACATTGCATGAGAATGATCAAGGTAATTTAGTATAAAGATGTAATGATCCTACATCTTTCTCAGTTTTTCTTTTTCCTTTTCCCTCTCTTTTTTACCTTTCTGATCTGTTGAATTGGAATTAGGTTATGGGTCCAATATTGCCTAATTGGAGCTTAATTAATTTATTTGTAGCTAAAGCCAGAAGCAGCTGCTCACTGGAACAAACTAATTCATGGGCTAAACCAAAGATGTTCTGCCATCAATGGTTCTGGAAGTGAACTGTACGATTTTCAAACCTAACCATGACCATATTGAGGTACATCACTTCAGCGCAAAATTTCTAACCTATTTAGGCACCGAGTTATCTGTTACTTCTCGAGATTTCCTGTTAATATCTAATTTATTGAATACCGCTTTCTTATTCAACACCTCAATGTGTGCTAGTCTCACCTTTACAAGGATTCTTACTGTGTGAATTGCGAAAAAACTGTACAAGATTTGATTCCTATATGTAAATAAGAAGGTAAGGAAATTAGATCAAACCAAGAATATGGCAAACCAATTATAGCATCTCAAAATACAAAAATTCAACTTGAACAGTTGAAAGAATTTGAAACAACTGTATTTTTTTTTTCATATTCAAATGCCTTCAAACTTTTGATGCTGAATAATCAACTGATATTTCTTGGAGAATGGAAAGCTTATCTCGTCAAGAGTTAAAGCAGCATCTTTAAGAATATTAAGGATGTCATGCCAAAAACCTCTCTACCTTCTCCACTTCTTCTACACTTCCAATGTAGAGTGGAACCCTTTGATGAATCTGCAGTAATAAATACAATGAAGCGATCAAGAAAAGAAGGAAAAGAACTTGAAACATGAATCTCATGAACTGAAACTGGACCATATCTAGCTAGACTAGGTGCTATGCAGATCAAGGCACATTTTTGGATCCACACGCCTCGGGCAAAAGAAAGAAGTATAGTCATGCTATAAAATTTTATAACTCTTGTAGCATCTCTTGATTCTGTGTTTTTGTAGTTCAATTTCTGAAAAATGGTAAAATATTGGTGATCTCTCATAGAACTATGGTACAAGAAACCAGTTTCCAATTAAGATCATTATTGAAACCCCTCAGCCATGTCATGCTCTTCTTCATGTGACTGATTAGGCATGTGCATCGGTAGATCAGTAAAATTTCCTCGGTAGCTATCTTTATGAGTACAAAATCGAGGAAATTTATACCTGAATCAAACTATTAATAATAATTCGTGAGCCATGTGCCTTGGGTGGCCCAAGCACGCGGCTCCACCCTAATGGCTACTCATTAGACTAAGGTTCAGCTAGTGTTTTTCTTTAAATCCAACTCGGCAGATCTCAGCTTTAGATCCGGTAGTTTTTGTGTTCCTGTTAATTGTTGCATTGAGATGGAACTGATGACTGATGAAAGATTCGGTCTTTAGGTTTTACACAGAGATTAGTGTCAGGTGCCTAATATTCCAAACCCACCGAAAGTGCACAGCCACATATGTTGAAAATTTGAGAAGAAAACAAAAGAGCGGACCCCACAGCTACAGTAAAATATTAATATTTTATTGTGCATAGTGTTTTTCTAAAAACTATAAATAGGGCTCCAAATCCTTAAGGAAATTTCATCCCAGAAACAACTTCTTATATAAGAAGAGTGAGAGAGAAAAAAAATAGAGAGAGTTTCTCCTTGTAAAGAGAGAGTTTGTAACTCCAGAGTTTTTTCCTCATAGTGAATTCTTCTATCCTTGCCCGTGGACGTAGGCAATCAAGTGCCGAACCACGTAAATCTGTGTGTCCAACATTTTATCTCTACTTTTGCTCTACTATTGCTGCGACCCTGCTCTATTAGGCCCCGGGTTTGTCCCAACAAGTGGTATCAGAGCCAACTTAGGGTACTTGTATATATCTACTTATCGTATGCTCTGTGGCTGCCACCAAAGGTGGATCCTCCACATCAGAAAATAAGTTAGGTTATCACTTACCCTTTGGAGGTGACGGGCACTGTTCACGAGTACGGTACTGTTCAAAAATACGGTACTATTCACAAGTACGGTACTATTCACAGATACGGTTACTGTTCATAAATACAGTTACTGTTTACGTGAAATAGTAAGAAGTTACTATTCGTGGTAGAAGCAATGACGGCGAAGTTCAAGATCGAGAAATTCGACGGGAGTAATTTCTCACTGTGGAAGTTGAAGATAAAGGCTATCTTGAGAAAAGATAATTGCCTGGCGGCCATTAGTGCAAGGCCGGACGACATCACAGATGATAAGAAGTGGAACGAGATGGATGAAAATGCTATTGCAAATCTCCATCTGGCATTAGCAGACGGGGTGCTGTCAAGCATAGAGGAGAAGAAGACAGCAAAGGAGATCTGGGATACTCTAACAAAGCTATATGAGGCGAAATCCATGCACAATAAAATCTTCTTAAAAAGGAGACTTTACACTCTGAGGATGGCGGGAGAGGAAGATCAACGGAACGTGGCTCCAGTGGGAGTCATGCCCATGGTAGATCGAAATCACGAAGTAAGAAGAATATCAAATGCTACAACTGTGGCAAAAGAGGGCACGTCAAATCGGAGTGTTGGCACAACAAGAAGAGTGGAGATAAAAAGTCTTCAGAGCCATCAACATCTCAAGGATGCGTTGTCAGCACGTCAGAGGATGGTGAAATTCTATTCAGTGGAGCAACCACTGTTGATGAAGGCAGAAAGAAGTTTGCTGATGTCTGGCTTCTAGATTCAGCAGCCTCTTGGCACATGACCTCTCGGAGAGATTGGTTTCACAAATATGAACCTATCTCAGGAGGATCTGTATTCATGGGGAATGATCATGCCTTGGAGATTTGTGGTATTGGTACTATCAAAATCAAAATGTTTGATGGTATAATACGCACCATTCAAGATGTGCGACATGTGAAGGGCTTGAAGAAGAATCTATTGTCTTTGGGACAATTAGATGAGCTCGGGTGCAAGACTCATATAGAAAATGGAGTCATGAAGATTGTTAGAGGGGCGCTTGTGGTGATAAAAGGAGAAAAGATAGCTGCAAATCTGTACATGCTCAAGGGAGAGACTCTGCAGGAAGCTGATTCATGTGTGGCATCAACCAGCCGTGGAGAAGAACAAACCATGATGTGGCATCGCAAGCTAGGCCACATGTCAGAACGAGGCTTGAAGGTTCTCTCCGATCAGAAACTGCTTCCTGGACTTAATTCGGTAGCTCTTCCATTTTGCGAGCATTGTGTTACAAGCAAGCAGCATCGACTGAAGTTCAACACATCGAGTTCTAGAAGCAAGGCTATTCTGGAACTGGTTCATTCTGATGTATGGCAAGCACCAGTTACATTCTTAGGAGGAGTAAAGTACTTTGTGTCCTTTATTGATGATTACTCCAGGAGATGTTGGGTGTATCCTATCAAGAAGAAGGCGGATGTGTTCTCAGTCTTTAAAGCCTACAAAGCGCGGGTCGAGCTTGAATCTGAGAAGAAGATCAAGTGCTTAAGGTCAGATAATGGAGGAGAATACACAGACGGTGAATTCCTAGCATTCTGCAAGCATGAAGGCATCAAAAGACAATTCAGTACGGCTTATACTCCTCAACAAAATGGAGTGGCGGAGCGGATGAACAGAACTCTGTTGGAAAGAACAAGAGCTATGTTGGCTACTGCAAATCTGGAAAAAGTCTTTTGGGCGGAAGCAGTAAAAATCGCTTGTTATGTGGTGAATCGATCTCCATCAACTACAATACAATTGAAGACACCGATGGAGATGTGGACTGGCAAACCAGCTGACTATTCCAACCTCCATATATTTGGAAGTCCAGTGTACGTAATGTACAATGCCCAAGAAATTACAAAGCTGGATTCAAAATCCAGAAAATGCATATTCTTGGGGTATGCTGATGGAGTAAAGGGGTATCGCCTGTGGGATCCCACTACCCGCAAGGTTATCATCAGCAGAGATGTTATCTTTGTAGAGAACCAACTACAAAGTGAAGAGAAAGAAAGCAGTTCGAGGAAGGACTCAGAGACTGTAGCTGTTCAGGTAGAAGATAATCCGAATTCTTCTGAAGCGACACCGGAGCATGATGTACAAGAACCAGTCGAGGCCGAGGCTCCAGAAGTTCGAAGGTCAACTCGTGAGAGAAGACCACCGACTTGGCACTCGGAGTATATTACGGAGAGTAATGTTGCATACTGTCTTCTAACAGAAGATGGAGAGCCATCAACTTTTCATGAAGCTATAAATGGCACAGATGCATCTTTGTGGATGGCAGCAATGCAGGAAGAAATTGAAGCTCTCCATAAGAACAAGACTTGGGAACTTGTGTCACTGCCACAAGGAAGAAAGACCATTGGAAACAAATGGGTCTACAAGATCAAGCGAAATGGCGATGATCAAGTGGAGCGGTATCGTGCTAGATTGGTGGTAAAAGGATATGCTCAGAAAGAAGGTATTGATTTTAATGAAATATTTTCTCCTGTAGTGCGACTAACAACAGTCCGAATAGTCCTGGCTATGAGCGCTATATTTGACTTACATCTAGAGCAGCTAGATGTGAAAACAGCATTTCTTCATGGAGATCTTGAAGAAGAAATTTACATGCTCCAACCAGAAGGTTTTGAAGAAAAAGGAAAAGAGAACTTGGTTTGCAGATTGAACAAATCTCTGTACGGTCTAAAGCAGGCGCCGAGGTGTTGGTATAAGAGATTTGATTCATTCATCATGAGCCTTGGATACAACAGACTTAATTCAGACCCTTGTGCATATTTCAAGAGGTTTGGTGAAAATAACTTTGTTATCTTATTGTTGTATGTTGACGACATGTTGGTTGCAGGCCCCAACAAAGATCGTATCCAAGAATTAAAGGCTCAGTTGGCTAGGGAATTTGAAATGAAGGATTTAGGATCTGCAAACAAGATTCTAGGGATGCAAATTTACCGAGACAGAATTAATAGGAAGATTTGGCTTTCTCAGAAGAACTATTTGAAGAAAATCTTGCGACGCTTTAACATGCAAGATTGTAAGTCAATTTCTACCCCACTTCCTGTTAATTTCAAGTTATCCTCCAGTATGAGTCCTAGCAGTGAAGAAGAGAGGATGGAGATGTCTCGAGTGCCGTATGCATCAGCAGTGGGAAGCTTAATGTTCGCGATGATTTGTACAAGACCAGACATTGCACAAGCAGTGGGAGTGGTTAGTCGATACATGGCGAATCCTGGTAAAGAGCATTGGAATGCTGTAAAGAGGGTTCTAAGATACATTCAAGGAACCTCAAATGTTGCATTATGTTATGGGGGATCTGATTTTATTGTCAGTGGATATGTTGATTCTGATTATGCAGGTGATCGTGATAATAGCAAATCCACCACAGGTTATGTGTTTGCACTTGCTGGCGGAGCTGTAAGCTGGGTTTCAAAACTGCAGTCAGTTGTGGCTACTTCAACAACAGAAGCAGAGTATGTAGCAGCTACACAAGCTAGTAAAGAAGCGATGTGGTTGAAGATGGTGCTGGAGGAACTCGGCTATGAACAAAAGAAGATATCTTTATTTTGTGACAGTCAGAGTGCTTTGCATTTGGCAAGAAATCCAGCCTTTCATTCAAAGACCAAGCACATTCGAGTTCAGTATCACTTCGTTCGTGAGAAAGTGGAAGAAGGAACAGTGGATATGCAGAAAATTCACACCAAAGACAACCTAGCAGATTTTTTGACCAAAGCAGTCAGTACTGACAAATTTATTTGGTGTCGATCCTCTTGTGGTCTGATGGAGACGTAAGCAACATGAAGATGGCAAGATAGAAAGAATGGTGTGAAGATATGATTGATGCTCAATCAAATCTTCAAGTGGGAGATTGTCAGGTGCCTAATATTCCAAACCCACCGAAAGTGCACAGCCACATATGTTGAAAATTTGAGAAGAAAACAAAAGAGCGGACCCCACAGCTACAGTAAAATATTAATATTTTATTGTGCATAGTGTTTTTCTAAAAACTATAAATAGGGCTCCAAATCCTTAAGGAAATTTCATCCCAGAAACAACTTCTTATATAAGAAGAGTGAGAGAGAAAAAAAATAGAGAGAGTTTCTCCTTGTAAAGAGAGAGTTTGTAACTCCAGAGTTTTTTCCTCATAGTGAATTCTTCTATCCTTGCCCGTGGACGTAGGCAATCAAGTGCCGAACCACGTAAATCTGTGTGTCCAACATTTTATCTCTACTTTTGCTCTACTATTGCTGCGACCCTGCTCTATTAGGCCCCGGGTTTGTCCCAACAATTAGGAGCTATATGGCTGTTGTATATGTTTACCTCCGTGGGCTGGATGTCCAATATCCTCTGGTGTCCGTCTGATCCCTTACCACCAGCCTGCTCTACAATAAAACTCATAGGGGCACACTCATACAGAAGCCTTAGCTTTCCGTTCTTGCTCTTCTTGTCCCGAGGGTACCCATATATACCTCCGTAAAGCAATGTTCGATGAAAGTCACCCACCAGGCTCCCAATGTACCGTGCTGAATAAGGCTTCCCCGTGGGCTCTGGGTCTTTGAGGTGATCCATGTACTTCCTCAATTTCTCATCCCACAACATGTAGTTCCCCTCATTGAATGCATAGATTTTACCTGCTCGTGGTATTTTCAGCTCCTCTTGTGTTAGCACAAATTCCCCATACATTGGATCCAATGTCTAGAATACATACAGTATCCTGCAGCTAGCAGGTTACTTCCTGGCTGGCACACATTGACCACGCATCTCTCCTCTGTTTTACCTAGCTGCAAGTTATGACACCAAATCTTAGAATTAGACCACGCTTCAGATGAAATAAATTAGCGCTAGTAGATAGGAAGGGCTTTGTACGTTGCTGTCATCATCAATGTCAGTGAGGCACTCGTCGTTGGGGCTGTAAATTCCAAAGATGGATCCAGTTGAGACAGCAGCATCAATGTTGGAAGATCCATCAAGGGGATCAAAGACGACAATGTAGTTGCCAGAATAGCTTTCTTCTACGGCTACTGGCACATCCTCCTCTTCTGATGCAATGATTCCAGTCCTTCCGCTAGACCTTAGGCAGTTAGAGAACACCTGTAGGTTCAACTTAATCAGAATAGAAAATCGGTACGACTGTAGATTGGCAAACTTGAGTTGATCGCCAATTTTGTGGCTTGTTTAATTTAATTGTGTAGAGTTATGTGGCATTTCATGATTTCAACAAGCCCGGTTATTTTTGCTTGACAGGAACAAACCGATCATGAGCTTCAACTGTTTCTCTTTTCTTATTTGGGCTTGTCCTACACAAGTGTTATAACATTTTGCATAGATTTTGGGTAATTACACCCTTATTCCTCAAATGACAGTTAACGTATCTCTGTTCGAAACATTAGCATATGTTTTCCATTTTCAGGACACATTAACGTTTTTATGTCGAAATTCGTTGAATTTAGCTTGTTTGCTGATCTAGTCCTGAGCTTAGTCCTGAATGTATGGATGTGAATTGATTTGTGTGATCAAAGCTGAAATGCTCATATTTACACCCTGGTTGTCTTTGAGTTGATAATTTTTGTGTGAGACAATAACAGCTTTAAGAGAACCGACCTCATTAGAGACCACATCGAGCTTCTTCTGATCCTCTCCTTGTACATTCACAGCACCCTGAACACCAGTGAGGTTCGAGATCCCCGCCCTTTGAACCAGCGAAGCAATCTGCTTGCAGGCCATAGAGATGCTGGAGAGAACAATGGTGAGCTCAGCATCAATGTCCCCTGCTTGCTCTTGCTTCAGAAGCCATGTAGTTAGCGTGAGAAGCTCGTAGCTGCTCCTCCTCCTCGTCTCAGGCTCTGATGTTGCTGTGCCAACAGCAGCACAGTGTATCCTTGCTGCAGGTCGTCTTCCACGTTGCTGCTCTCTCCTCCTCTTTGAAGCGATCAGAATTGCTCGGTTTGCATGTAGATGGATCGACGACCGAGGAGAAGCGACTGAGTTTGAGTAGTTTAGCTTGGAGAAGGGAGTTTGAGCAGTGGCGGTGGCCATGGCTGTGGGGATTGTTGTTTTTAGATCAGATAGATGAGCTCATGTCTTTGTATCTCTATTAATTTCTTGATGAAGCCGTGCAACATTTTGTGAGGTGTTGAAGCGGTTAGGATTGGTTTTGGATTTTCTTTGATTTTTTGAGGATGGTATGGGTCGCATTGGTCCTAAGGGGCCCCCCTCCTTTATCCTTGATGATCAAATTTTCTTGGTTTTGGAGAGTTCCGTATCTTACGATTTACCAGTCAGTTTTTAGTTTTTTTTTTACTTTTATTATTTCTTTGAGGAGGGAATAATTGGTACAAGCCAGTGGGCTTTAGGCCCACTACCAAACCACGACTGTGTATTGGGCCAGCATTGTTGCTGGTCTGGGCTATAGGGTCGAAACACTTTGGGCCTTATAGTATGCAAAGCTTGATGAGACCCCCGGTTACCAAACCTCGAAACATATTGGGATCCTCATCCTCTACTAATAAATAGTATTCCTAATATCTCCTAATAAATAGATCTTAGCCTTTAATTTATCAATCAAAGGCCAAGATCTCATCATGAGCAAAAGTAGGGGGAGGATGAGGAGATCTTGGCCTTTGATTGATAAATCTATCAATCAAAGGCTAAGATCCCATTAGGAGATATTAGGAACCTCCTTATTAGTAGAGGATCCCGATCCCAAACCCTTGAAACGGACTCTCCGGGTTTCAACCGAAAAGGAGGTAAAAGATTTAGGGCTTAAGAGAGCTTTAGTGGGACGCTTCTACTTTTATCGGTCTCTCGCACCCCACAAAAGCTAAAAAAGAAATTGTACTCCTTATTCCTCTTGTGGGGGGTTAGAAGTAAGGCATATTTCACTTTTTAACTTTAGTCAGCTGGGAGAATTAATTAATTATTGTTTAATTAATTGGTGTTAGCTTTTAGGTTCTAGAAGAAGCTCCAACTAGACCTTTAAACGTGTTAGGCAATTAGGCACCATTTGAAACAGTCCAATATTTCCATCAATTACGAGCCATGATCAGTCGAGTCAATACCCAAAGTCTTTTTCCTATTTGGCTGGAGCGCAGGGCTTTTCTCAGGGAACTGGAGTAACGAACAGCGCAAAGTTGCAAGCGTGGCATCAAATGAACCTATATACTATACGCTTCAAAATTTAAAGGGTTATTTTCACACAACCTCCCTTTAGAAAATCGCAGTAATATATGCAAACAGTTTTTAAAGTTCATTTTCATACAAGAAAAAAAAATCCAATTTTTTTTTTTAAAAAATTCCCAAAACGCCTTTAATTAACACGCGTGAGGGGCTAAGTTTGGTTAAGAAAGACATGTCACGTGCATGACATGTGTATTTCGGAAGTTTCTAATTGTGTCAGAAAATAGATCGACGCGGGGTTGATTGCTATCTGAACGTGCATTAAAGGTGCGTTAATTGAACTTGGCTTTAGCCCTTGCTTGCCCCTTGAATTGTTCGTTTTGTCTCTCCATAACCCCTAAACTATCTTTTGTCTCATCTTACCTCCTGAACTATTTAATTAGTCCCTCGTTGCCCTCTGAACTATTTTGAATCCCTCGTTAGCCCTTGAACTACCACTTCAGTCCTACCTTACCCTTTGTATTATCATTTTATCCATTTTAAATAACAAAAATTAATATAAATGAGGTTGTAACTTGGTACCAAAAGTAACAATTCACGGGGTAACAAGGAATGAATTTAATAGTTCAAGTGGTAAGATAAGACTAAAAATAGTTCAGAAGGTAACAAGGGACGGATTTAATAGTTCGTGGGATAAGATGAGACTGAAAAAAAATTAAGAGGATACGAAGGAACAAATTAAAGAGTTCAGGGGGGCAAGTAGAGGCTGAAACCCTCGTCTCATCCTATTGTGAAGATGGTTTATGTGAGAAAAAAAGCACAGTTTTAAAATATGGGAATATTCCAAATTAATGATCACAACGACGCCATACCTATAATTAACTACCCTTGTTATTGGAGACTAGCAGGCTTCTTCTCTTGATCACAACGCCAATGCTTACAAAATATTCCGACTTGTTAAACCCTTCATATGATGCCCATCGAGGAATACGAAGAGTGAGGCGGCAGCAACCCAATTAGTTTACGTGCGGTCGAAGACGGACCCAAAATGGAACGTAACAAGCCAACCACCTCTCGAGACACCGAACAAGTCTCCTAACTTGACTTGACCCTCAGCGTGCCAGTTGGCACATTTGCTTACGGGTCCAACAAAAATCTCCACCTCCGGACTAGGCTCCAAAGCTTCGAGAATTTCCACGCTCCGAAACTTCCTATGTTACGTTTTTTTTTTCTCACCCACCGCAATTAATTAGATGATTAAATTACACCACCTTGCAACTTGATCGAGCGCTACGCTTACGACTAGTGAAATCGGCGATTGTTTATTCCCGAACCGTAACTTTTATTTGACGCACGCGACCGATGACCGCTTCTTTGCAACGTTTTCCAACCAATAACCGCGTTGGGTGTAATCTTCACATCAATCAAACAAAAGAAATTAGGGTTAGAAAGTCGTTGGCCTTCACGTTTATACACCCTAACCGTGCGTTATATAAACCCCCAACCCTGCGTCTCTTTTCTCTTCAGTTTCGAAATAACACTAATTTGTATCTAATTCATTAATTCCCCCACTTTCCTCTTTGGTTCAAATTATTAATCGAACCATCGATCTCATGGCTTCTCGGTTTTTGTCATTAGCTCTTCTCGTCTCTCTATGTCTGCTCGTTCCTTCAACGCTTGGTACGCCCTCCTCTATTTTTGCCTCCTGCCTTTTTTTCTGATTAATGAATACAACTAACTTATAACGTTCTTGTACGTGTGCAGCGGGGGTGATATGTGACGATTTGCCCCAGGATTTATGCGCGTTCGCCGTTTCTTCTTCTTCGAAACGTTGCGTGTTGGAGAGCTATCAGAACAGCGGCAAGCCAACGGAGTATCAGTGCCGGACGTCAGAGGTGGTGGTCGAGAGGATGAAGGATCACATCGAGACCGATCAATGCGTGAAGGCTTGTGGTGTTGACAGGAAGTCCGTTGGAATTTCGTCGGATTCTCTTCTTGAGCCTCAATTTGCCGGGAAGTTGTGCTCCCCGGAGTGCCATCAGAACTGTCCCAATATCGTTGACCTCTACTTCAATCTTGCAGCTGGGGAGGGTAAGGTCTTTTATTTGATCAACAAGCCTATACTTACAAACTGGAATCCATATATATTTTGATTAAATAATGCACAAATATTAATTAGATACGAAGATAGTTAGAGAAAGGAACGCAGCAACAAAATTGCACGCTCTAGTGAAACCGTGACGAAATACGTACCCCTACATGCATGTCATTAATAAGAGTTTAACAGAACAATCCGAATATATGTACGAGAAGAAAAATATGATCACATGTGAAATAAGTCCTTCAGTCCCCTCCAATGGTCCCATATTTTGGGTCCCTGTAGCAAAGCTCTTTCCCGTTAGATCCAAAGTAATTTGAGCATAAACTACAGCTATAAAGGGATTTGGGCACTTTGGCGCGTTTCTTTAGAGTGGGGAAACGTTTGATACTCCCTAGTTACCGCTTTCTTTCAGAAAGGCCTCGATCGGCCTCAATTTTTAGGCAAGCCACTAGGTTTTTCATTCGATGGGCTTTTAGGAGGCCCAAATACTAGAGTCTGAAAATGGTATTAACGGGCTTTGTTGTGTGAAACAGGCGTTTATCTTCCAGACTTGTGCGAAGCTCACCGGTCGAACCCTCGTCGAGCGATGGTTGAGCTCATGAGCTCCGGTGTCGCACCGGGTCCCGTCTCTGGGGGCGTGGTCAACAAGTTAGACGCAGAAGCTGCTCCCGCTCCTGCTCCCATGGCTTTCTGATCGATTGAAATTTTCTTTAGGTCGACTTGAAGAGGGCATTCGTTATGAATTAATTCTTGTGTTTTGTTTACAGCGGAGGGATAATTAGAAGATTCATCACAGCGAGGACAGTCTTGTATTTGATTATAAATTATATGTGTACCCTTATTCCTTTGTATAGAGAAAATAATAATATTTTGATGATTTTCAGTTACTCCCATAGTTTGTCTTTTACGATTAATTAGTTCTTTTTAATTCCCTCTAAAATGAAGAAACTTAGAAGAAGATTACGTTGTGTTTTAATCCTCTTCTTCTTAGCTCTTTCTAATTCGCTTCTTTTCATGCTCTTTATGTATTTTGCTTGTCTATTGTATCTAGTGCATAAATTTCCTGGATATCTTGTCTATGTTATTAAGTAACAAAATACATTTTATCAAAAAAATAAAAATAACAAAATAAAACAATTTCATGTGGCGAGTTGGCCCAAATAAACTACAGTAACGAGCCGAAGTTATACAGTGTGAGGTAACACAACGGGCCTAATTCTAGACAAAACAATTAATGGCTAATTGCGGCTCTGATGCGACTTTAACATAATTGGCTAAACCATTGTTCTTATGGGCTAAGCCCATATAGCGATAAAGGTTGCTCAACACTTAATGCCGTTTATTGTTGACTTCATTGGGGATTAGGGTACATAATGAGTATAAGCTAATAGCTCTTTTAGCAAAATGAGATGTCAACTCTATGACACGTGAGCATATATAAAATACATAGACATATATGGAATACTGAGTATAAGCTAATAGCTCTTTTAGCAAAATGAGATGTCAACTCTATGACACGTGAGCCCCTCAACTGATGTAACTAGCAATGGATCATATATATATATATATATATATATGAGATTAATGGGTATTCCTTGTCATAGGAGCGGCGATTTCCTCCCTGGTACAGCCGTCTAATAATCACATCGATATGAGGCGATATTGTGGTGCATTCCGCTCCGTTGAATGATCTACATATTCTAAGACCCCAACGACACCAAGTTATGGGTGAACCCGTCGTCCGTTTGACCCTATCATCCACTCGTATCAATTTTAAGGTTTTGAATGAATAGAACTTTTCAACATTAGCTCGTTCGATGGAGGTCAACGACGACGGGATTTCCCGCAAACTTGGTGTGTTGGGTTTTAGATTGTAGATCAAGTTCAAACGGAGCGGATCATCCATAAATGTCGCTGCATTCATGTGATTTTAGAGCCGTCAACTGAGAAAATGGCCTCTTCCTATGACAAGCGATACCCATTAATCTCTTCTCTCTCTCTCTCTCATCGTCTTCTCTCTCTATTATATGATATATATTATATATATATAATATATATATATATATATATATATATATATATATATATATATTATATAATATATATATGTAGATTAATGGTATTAGATTTTTAATGGCGTTATCCTTGTGCAATAGGAGGGATTTCGCTCCTATGACGCCTCTAAAATTCACATGTGATTGAGCGATATTGTGGATGATCCGCGCCTCTGAACTTGATCTGACATATTCTAAAACCCGCAAGACACACCAAGTTTGGCGGTGAACCCGCTTCTCAGTTTGACGCCTTCATCCAGTTCGCTATCAAATTTTAACGGTTTTGAATGAATAGAACTTTTCACATGGCCTTCGATGGACGGTTCAAACGACGACGAGATTCACACCCAACTTTGCGCTGTGTTGGGCGGTTTTAGAATATGTAGATGCAAAGTTTAAGATCGCGGATCATCCACAATATGCGGCTCAATCATGTGATTTTAGAGCGTCAATGAAGGAAATCCCCTCGCTATGAGCAAGGATACCCATTAATCTCATATATATTATATAGTATATATATATATATATATATATATATATATATTATATATATAATATATATATATATATATAGTATATATATATAGAGAGAGAGAAAAATGGGTATGCCTGGTACGCAAAAACAATTTTGCTGCGCTTGGTAAGTGAGGTGTCCTATTCTGCATCCACTCATTCGAATTGGGGTCCACATTCAACCCATTGTGAATGTGATCCTCTCATTGATATGAGTGGATGATAATATGGGCCACATCACTACAAGCACAATTTTATGTGCTTGGTACAAAGCATACCCACGTTCCTCATATTATATATATTATATATAATATATATATATATATAGTATATATATATATATATATATATTACTGTCAGACCTTTAATTATCCACAAGGAGGCGGCGCTTGTTGAATTAGTTCCTGTTACGGTGGCCTCATTGCTTTGTCACACATGTCCACAAATGGGGTCATGTGGCGGACCTTTACATACTGAAGAAGGAATCAAATCAATTAGGAAAAAGAGCCAATTATATTAGATTAGTTAAACAGGTCTATAATCATGTGATTTGAAGTAAATTGTTGTTTATACTGTCTCTTTGTGAAAGAAATCCCTTTTCTGGTTGGATCATGGGTCCATCTTGATCTATCAATGGAATACTTTTTCAGTCTTCTTGCTGGATTGCTCTGTACGTTCCAACGTGACATCAGTATTTAGTAGGACCTCTTCTATTTTTGGGTGATTGCCTCGAGTAATTATTATACTTTTAACAGGACGACCGGTTGCTAGACTTCGATATTGTTTCTATCCTCCCATAAGTGTAAAGCGTACTGATTGTATACTGTTTTGCTTCCTAAGAAGATCAAAGATGATGGAGCATTATTCAAACTATTGCTTCTTTCTTCTCCTTAATGATTGCCTTGGTAGATCATACGTTAGAATGTAACTTTAAAAATAAAAAGAAAAAACGATCATACGGTAGAAGAAAAAAGAAAACTTATTACAACAAACTGGACAATCTTAATTAATTAGCTCAACGGTCTTATAATTTCTCATCACGTGGGAGGGTAGATTCTACCAGAACATCCCCATAAAATAAGTTGATCTATACTGTTCACACAGGTGGTTAGGGGTTAGTTTGAAATTTTTTAACTCTTCCATCTATAATATAATACAAATTAAACCACATTATTCCTATATGGGTGATTCTGATAGGATCCTTTCTCCATAATGAAGAAACCACTACCTTATTAAGTACTATTGATTTGTGTACTGGATGTTTATGCTTCATTCCAAATCTAAAGGTTCGTTTAGGGCTGTCCCTAAAGCCCGCGAAGCCTGAACTCACCCTGTTTTGACGCGAGCTAAAGCGGGGGGGGGGGGGGGGGAGGGGGGGGGGGGCAAAGCGCCCAAAAATTGCGGAACGGCAGCCAAGGCTCTGGGCCCTTTCCCTAAAAGCCTGACCCAAGCCCGGGTTTAGGTTTGAACATTGGCAATCTCTATGGAAGAAGTCTACCAAATAGCTAAACTAATTTTGTGTTATATTTGATGTGGCTTTTGTTATTGTTGTTGTTGTTATTACTATTATTATACATACACACACAACATAAGTATATAAAAAATACATAAGTATATTTACAACTATATACATATAAATATATATATAAGTATAAATATATATACTTGTTATGGTAATCTACCATTTATCAACAAAAATGATTAGAAGATTGTCTCCATGAGCCTAATGGAGTCACAATTCAAATCGACTCAGCTAAAAAGCCTAGCCAAAAGCCAAACGTTTTAGCCGACACGAAGTGCGGAAGCAGTCGGCCCTTCGTCTTTAAGGCGGCTACTCAGGAGTCCACCCAACTCCCAATCGAAACGACTCCCCTAGTGACGACTCGGCTGTCTACCGAGCTATCTGACTGGACTGACGACTCACTTATCTAGTCAACAAGTTACGAGAACGACTCGCCTTCCAATACAATCCTACTGGGGAAGATAAAGATCTGAGTCATCCAACTGAGCTATTTCCAAGATATACATCAATCAACCACAGTATTGATCAGTCACATCAAAAGTCTCAAACTCTGACGAAATCTTAAATGCAAAGACGACTCATTCTATTCCCAAGTCACTTCTGAGACGTAATCAAGACACCCTCTGAGCTCAGACGACCTTTTCCCCAGTCGTCAGCTGCCATTTGTGAAGCAATGAGTGGCTAGATCGGTTAGCCTATCTTCCCGTTACCCTTATCCGTCAAACCTGGGACGTTATTGAGGCACCTTCTGTACTCGAGTGCGTCGCCCTCCAATCACTAACCACCATCTGTAAAGATAAGGGCGACTCAGCACCTCACCGTATTCTCAGCCATACGCCATCTAATCAATCCTGGGGCCGTATCGAGATCATCTCGAAATAGTATCTCCTCCAGTCGCCAGCCGACACGTGAAAGGACTACTGCTGACTCAGTCTCCAGCTCATCCCCCACCATCGTCCTCAGACCCCTGATGAAGTCACTGTAGGCTGTCTAAAAATCACAATAGATAGCTTATCCCCCATCAAACACCGATGATGGAAGTTACAATCTGACGACTTCCAGAAGGCTACAATTTGAAGACTTTCACGTAGATCACTAAAGGTTACAATCTGGCGACCTTCACGACAACCGATGAGAGCTCTAGTTCAACAGCATTCACAATCAACATCGGGAGTTACAATCTGACGACTCTCATATTCTCAAGGAGCCAAGACGAAGATTACAAGACAATGATCTTTGCAACGCTATGACAAAAGAAATTACTTTGTGATAATCTCTTCAAGACAAGACGCGGAGGTCCTCCCCATGTGTCAACATCAAAACGCCAGGATCGAACCCGCGTTACAACTCCCCGTGTATCAACACCAAAACGCGGAGGTCCTCCCCGTGTATCAACACCAAAACGCGGAGGTCCTCCTCGTGTGTCAACATCAAAACGTTGGAGTCGGACCCGCGTCACAACATCAAAACGCGAGGGTCGAACCCGCGTCACAACATCAAAACGCGAGGGTCGAACCCACGTTACAACATCAAAATGCTGGAGTCGGACCCGCGTTACAACATTAAAACGCTGGGGTCGGACCCGCATTTTTCAGCACCCAGCGAGTACCCAACTCTGCGTCTCCATTCTAAAACACGGAGTTAGGATCCTGAACGCCGACGTGGGCGTTTGACTCGTTCAAACACGAGCTGAACGGTTGCAGGAATCGTTTTTCCTCCACGATTTGAGGGATTTCCGCCCCACTTAGGAACGGATTAAGGGGGCGGATCCCTTAATTCCCTATAAATATGGGTAAAC